CTACACACTATTTTCAACTCACCCTGTATATAGGCGAGGGCATTGCATGCAGGAGAGGGACAAATCTTAATATGCTAAACTAATGGTAAGCGCCCATTAAAATAGGATAAACTATGCTCATCCTCATGGGACTCAGTGTCTTAACGTTGACCGTTTAGAACTGATTTACTCTGCCAACATGAAGATTTTTCCGAAAGGGGTTAGTTTCGGGTCCGCGGCTGGCATGCACGAGAGGGAAAAATCTTAATATGCTAAACTAATGGTAAGCGCCCATTAAAATAGGATAAACTATGCTCATCCACATGAGACTCAGTGTCTAAACCGTCAACGTTAGAACTGATATACTACTACTATATGGACACCACCACACTAGCACCTTTCTTCGCTATTCGACAAGTTGGATTTGAAGCCCAACACCAGTACGACAACTCCACTACGTCCCTCAGTTTCGAAGCACCTCCGTACGCTGTGTACCGGAAGGGACAGTGGTTCGTCCTAAACACGAGTGCCCGACTTTCGGACGAGCTATGAAGTGCACCAGAGAGTCCTACATCTCCACTCCCATGGGACTCTTACTGCGCACGAAAGAAAAGAACGTACAACTCGCCTCCCAGAAATCATCAGCGACAGGCGAACACCATCCATACCGACAAACCACGTCCGAGGTCTCGGCAATCGACATGCCGACCTACCAAATATTGTTCGTAGAGTGGACCGTTAACGTAAATAGCGTCAGTTTTGGTCAAACTATCGTTCACGCGCCGAACCACATCGAACCCGACGGTATTTTATACCGCAAACCGGCGATGGGGCTACCCTTCCTGAGTCTCTTGGAAGCTCTGGCGATTCCTGCAGTGGGAACCGACAAGTTAGTGGAAACCATGGAGGCTTTTCAGATTAAAACGCAACGCCTACAGCAGGAATGCGAACAAGTGGAGAGACTGGTGGCGTCGCATCAGCCCATTAAGGGTACCATCGAAATGATGAAATCAATTCCACGATACCTAACGATCGCTGCATGGATTGCAGCAATTCTCGTTTTCCTATTCCTGGTCGGGCTGACGTTATACCAGCAGAGCGCCTAACACGATCCACAAGCCATATCGTCCTTGATGGTAAACACAGGTGATAAACCACCAACTACGCCGACACCCCCGATACCTGAGAAAGGTTAGAAGGTTTCGTACACTGCACAATTGTCTGGCGGCCTCATTCAGAAACCCCGGTGGAGAAACTTGAATCGATACAAAAAAGAGGTCTCAAGTGGATCCTTCATGATATTTACTTGAGCCTTAGGGACAAAAAAAGTACTTCATAGCGTAAGGAACTTAATATCCTTCCACTCTCGGTAAGGTTTGATTACAAGGATATATTATATTTTCATAATTTTTTATGACATCTCAGTTGTGACATTTCCACCTTACTTGGGAAGTAGGTTAAGGCGATCACATCTAGACGATCTCAGTATGATTAGTGACATTTCTCCTCAAGTTCCACAAAACCTTACGTCAAGCCAGACCAGATGTTCAGGCATATCTAAGTCTTGCTTTTACAGAACACATATTCTTTGGAATAAACTCCCTTTTCATTTTGATTTAAGGGAAATCTCAAGGCCATCCGTGTTTAAAACCGATTTAATTCAGTACCTCTGGACAGTTCTAAACGACCATATATAACATCTTCTGACAGTTAAACAATTTACCTAAACTTTCACGATGATCAGACACACAAGCTTTGATAACAATAACGAAACAATACTTTACTATCAAGACGAATTATGAATGACCTAGATCAGTTTCACAATACTAAACACATCAGTACAATTTCACATTATTTCACTGTCATTTTACTGATTAAGATCTGTGCCGCATTCCTAGCATTAAATTTAATTTTACGAATTATATCCTTTTGTACTTTACAACCCCGTACAAATGCCGCAAATCCTTAATCAATAATTATAATCTCCCGTTATAGATCACGATATAATATATTATATTATATATATTTTGATAATTGAAAGTTTTAGTTATCTTTAATGTTTAATGTAAGGAGTCACTCCTTAGTCCTTACTTAAAGGAGTGTTATAATTATAAAGTTGTTGTACTTTATAAGTGTATATTCACCTATACTACAACTTGTAGTATAGGTGAATATACACTTATAAAGTACAAGCATAACTGCTTGGCCGTGATACATCTTTGATTGGTCGAAAGTCTTTCAGTTTCAACAACACAGCATCATCACTTTCAAAGTAGTCCCCGGCTTATGACGGGTTCATAGCGGTATTAAAGTTAAACATGTTTTTCTGGGCCCAAACATTCTGCGCTCCTACTATGCTATTAGTATTACTGGTCTCTTGACCAACAGCTCCCAATCATCTGTCCATATACGCATAATTTTGGGTTGTAGCGCGATGCACTACTGCATACTGGGATGCACCGCGCATCTTCTCGCAACCACAACTGTACTTGTAGATCGTCGACTTCGAGATATGAAAAATTGATATTGGAGGACTTCGCCGCTTCGACGCGCTGCGCAAACTAGCATTCTTGCTTCGCATCAAAGTGTCGATCGTTGCGTTGATCGTTGCGTTGATCGTTGCGTTGATCGTTGCGTTGATCGTTGCGTTGATCGTTGCGTTGATCGTTGCGTTGATCGTTGCGTTGATCGTTGCGTTGATCGTTGCGTTGATCACGTTGCGTTGATCGTTGCGTTGATCGTTGCGTTGATCGTTGCGTTGATCGTTGCGTTGATTGTTGCGTTGATCGTTGCGTTGATAATTGCTCTGCTTCGCAGAGCAACGATCTCGACAGATTGACATCGTCAATCAAGATTGACATCATGAATCAAGATTTTGGGCTGAATAAAAGGTCGCAGCTTTATCATTTATAGCTTTGCAAATTAATGTGGTTGTCATGTCATGACTTCATGGCTGAATTCAGATTGTAACACGCGAACTTAACGTCTCGGACTCGAGCGACGACAAACATGCTATTGAAAAATTATCACCTCTACTTCGAATTCGATCTAGCAAGCCCGTCAGGCATTATATTACTTGGGGACCTCAGGCTATCATCTTACCTGAGGACCCCAGGCTATTATGTTCATTAACATATAGATTTGGCGGAATGACAGGCTGAGCGCGGCCCAGTAAGCTATCATCTTACTATATATCTTACTATATATAAAGCGAGACGATATATATATATATGTGGATATATCCGTGCCATTTTACTGACACCAGGGCATCAACTTTAACGCGAGTTTCCGCAAAAACCGTAAAAAATATACAACTGAAACCTTTTTGACTGGGTCAAATGCTTTAATGGCCTTCAAATCAGCATGAAAAAATTAAAAATTGGCCAAGGAATGAGAATTTTAGTGCCCAAAATTTGGACTCCCAAGTGGTGTCAAAAACGCGAATTAAATAGGTAATAATTATTTTATTCTCTCGAGTCTTGACACCACTTTAGGGTAGACGGGTTCCTGCTAGTAATTATAAAGCGAGACGATATATATATATGGATCCGTGCCATTTTACTGACACCACGGCATCAACTTTAACGCGACTTTCCGCAAAAACCGCAAAAGATATATTGACGGATGTTACTCGTCTAAATTTCTTCGAAGTAGCGCTCGCCGCTTTTTTCTCGAAATGGCCCGATGGCACGAGCTACGAAGTAGCGCGCGCCGGGCCAAATCATTAACAATGGTCAAAAGATATACAACTGAAACTTTTTTGACTAGGTCAATTGCTTTAATGGCCTTCAAATCAGCATGAAAAAATTAAAAATTGGCCAAGGAATAAGGATTTTAGTGCCCACAATTTTGACTCCCAAGTGGTGTCAAAAACGCGAATTAAATAGGTAATAATTATTTTAGTCACTCGAATCTTGACACCACTTTAGGGTAAACGGGTTCCTGCTAGTAGTCAGTGTAATAACTATAAGCGCCAAGCGCGCGAGCACGGAACTTTTTTCTCCGATTTCGATAAATTTGGTACCAAAAGTTACCTAAAAATGTGAAAATAAATTCACCGTGTAGCAATTTTCGCTTTACCTGAGGACCCCAGGCTATTATGTTCATTAGATTTGGCGGAATGACAGGCTGAGCGCGGCCCAGTAATTTTCGCTAAAAATGCTACACGGCGCTTGTTTGCCGCGCAAATTTTTAGTTTTTGGCCTATTACTTTCACAATTTCAGTTATTATCACAAAATTATTATGGCATCGTAATCAGCTCATCGAAACGAAACTTTTGGTACTAATATTTTAAGAATTATTTTCAAAAATTTTTAATCCGAACACAATTAAGGGTCCCCCCTTGTGTGAAATTTTGAACAAATTTTTGAACAAATTTTTGAAAAATATTATAATTTTGGTACTAAAAGTTGCGTCTGACTAAGCTCATTACGATCCTGTATGAATTATTTCAAAATAATAAATATGTTAGGAATTATAGGCATTTTAAGCAATAAATTACCCCTTTTTCGTCCTTTTTAGTTGTACACTCTTGCGATGCACAAAAGGCCCACATATGTACAGCTCGACGTTATCGTGCTACACAGTGAATTTTCATTATTCACACTTAGAGGCTACTTTTGGTACCAAATTTATCAAAACCAGAGACAACAAATTCTGTGCCAGCTCGTGGCGCTTATTACATAAACTATAGTGTTCATAAACATAGAATAGAGATTCGGCGGAATGACAGGCTGATCAGCGCGGCCCAGTGACAAAATGCAGGAAGCCAGGCACGGCAGTAATGAGTAAGGTTTTCTGGGCTTCGGGGTTATGATTAAGTTAGGATTAAAGTTTATGTAAAACCGTTTTTTTCGGCTGCAAAACTATAAAAACCTAGTAAGTGAAAGTCACGTGATAATTTTTGCGCGAGCGAATTAGTAAAGCCCTACTTAACTGTACTTAATTTAAAGTAAACTCAAATTTAGACAAGCGTTTTTGTGTACTGTTGTCATAACTTTTGGTAAGTCATACAGATTAATTACTTTCCGTAAAACTTTTCAAATGCTCAGTTTTTAAATTCATTAACGGGTTTTACAATACCCGTAAAATATTGGTTTCAAATATTAGACCGTCGACGAGTCCAACTCGGCGTGCATAGGTTATAAACCTACAATAAATTCATAGAAAAATTCAAAATGTCTACTGTTATAAATGACCTCAAGCCAACAAGTTTTTTGTACCCAATAATACTAATAATCAACAAAATTTCATTTTAAAATATTACCCTCCTGTGGAAGAATACTTTGCATTTTTCTCCTTTACAAAAATTGATATTGTTTTTTAAAACCAGGACATTATTTATGAAAAACCGTGTAACTGAATTCAATAGTCAAGTATGTACACAAATTAATTAATAATCTTTTACAAATAAAATTAAAATATGAAATGTAGACAAACTCGCGCCCGAAACCACTGGTGGGTTTTTCAATTGAAGTCCTTGACCATTCAGTTCATGTGACTTCAATTAACCAAAGTTTATTGATTCTTTTCAGCACTGAACACCTTTAAATATATCAAATGGATGATCGAAATGTCCAGATTAGTCGTTGATGAATATCTTGATCGTATAATACATCAGTATCCTTATATAAAACCTCGCTCTTCATTTCACACGATCCCTTTCCATCACAATAATTCCTTCTTGGTAGCTCCAGTATTCAGACGAATATATACGATCAGCTGTTAAACACAGATATACAAGGAATTGTATCAAAAGTAGGTCCCATCTTCAGAGCTTTTCATATATCAGAGAATCTGCCGGTGGAGGAAGCCGTTTCAGCAGCTGATCCGGATGCGGGACTTTGCCCGTCTTCCTCAGATTTGGTTTCCAACAGCTTGGTAATGCCGATAACCCTGCCGATATTGACTTGTTACTTTATTTATTCATAGATTTTCGAATAAAGCGAGGAAATTTCAGCGGAACAAATAAATTCTTTCTTAATTTTCTTTGGAGCAAAATCTTCATTAGCCCACAAATCTGATCCGATAACATAATTGTCAGTTTCAGTAGGCCCCCTACTTTTCAATACTCATATTATTAATTAATTGACTAATTAAAAATTAATTAATTAACTAATTCATTACTAACCTATCATTCTGCTCCTGTAACAAAGTATTATTCCTCTCCCCATCAGTTAACAGACTCGTTACTTGATTCTGGAGACTTGCCAAGTTGTCCTGCAGACTCACAAAGCTTTGCCATACAGCTTGGAGAGCGTCCAGCTTGATCCCTTCAGAGTCAAGTTTGGAGTATAGTTTGTAGAGGTCTTCTCGCATTGTCATTATTGCCTGGAGAGATATATCTCCTTATATGGGCATCACGTGTTTACTATATCTCATAATGCAAGCAAATCAAAGTTGTAGAACTAAGATCAGCACTGTCTTTCAGATTATTAAATCTAAAACATAAACTCTATAGCTACCTCGTAGGAGTCTATCTCGACATCATTTCTCTGGGGAGGAGTAAGTCTGGCACAAACTCTGGCTATGACATCCTGTTTGTCGTGAAGAGAGGTGTTGTGGAGGGAGTTGTACTGTTCATCTCCCCATACTACTTCCCGAACACCCTGAACAGCAGATCAGTTAGTACAATTAGTACAATTAGTACAATTAGTACAATTAGTACAATTAGTACAATTAGTACAATTAGTACAATTAGTAGAATTAGTACAATTAGTACAATTAGTACAATTGAGTACAATTAGTACAATTAGTACAATTAGTACAATTAGTACAATTAGTACAATTAGTACAATTAGTACAATTAGTACAATTAGTACAATTAGTACAATTAGTACAATTAGTACAATTAGTACAATTAGTAGAATTAGTACAATTAGTACAATTAGTACAATTGAGTACAATTAGTACAATTAGTACAATTAGTACAATTAGTACAATTGAGTACAATTAGTACAATTAGTACAATTAGTACAATTAGTACAATTAGCACAATTAGTACAATTAGTACATATCTGTTCTCTGTAGAGATCACACCACAGAGAACTAGACGATGATTCTAACAGATGATATTTCGGAGATCATGATTTGTGATTATCTAATACTCCGAATTAGTTGATAACTTATCACATGGTGATAACCCACCTTTTTACAGGGGCTACAAAGAACTCTAGCTCCCAGCATAGTAAGGGGCCAGGTGATGAGGTTGAAAGGTGCAGGAACAGGGTGGTTAGCCTCGTGCATCATTACTAGCTTCATTACCGAGCACCTCTTCTCCGTGTCACAGGATCTCTTGGACACTTGGATCTTTCCTGGGGAATCAAACGTTAGGATGTTAATGCAGTTACATTGAAAATATCTAACGTTTTATTAGTTCAAAAGAACTAAGCTCACTACAAAATCGGTAGAAATTGACCATTTCTTAATAATAAAAACTATATACGCAGTAAACTTGAAAAAGGTAAGATTCTCACCAAAACAGGAAATAGAGAAGGATATGAAGGTGAGCAAAGAGAGAGCAAGGAATGAAATGAATAGTAACTGAGCTGCAATGTTACCAGCAGCTGTGTTGCCCGGAGTGGATACCACCCTCTGGAGGGAAAGGAACAGCACCGTTACAATTGTAGTCTCCCTGAGGTTACTATGGTTAAAATTGTAGTCTCACTGGGGTTACTGTGGTTACAGTTGTAGTCTTCATGGGGTTACTATGGTTAAAATTCTAGTCTCCCTGGGGTTACTGTGGTTACAATTGTAGTCTCCCTGGGGTTACTATGGTTAAAATTGTAGTCTCCCTGGGGTTACTATGGTTAAAATTGTAGTCTCCCTGGGGTTACTATGGTTAAAATTGTAGTCTCCCTGGGGTTACTATGGTTAAAATTGTAGTCTCACTGGGGTTACTGTGGTTACAGTTGTAGTCTTCCTGGGGTTACTATGGTTACAATTGTAGTCTCCCTGGGGTTACTATGGTTACTATTATATAAACCTTACAGTTAATTTCCACATAACATTTACTATAAGCTTATAAGCGCTGCAAGGTTCGCATAGTATTTTTCGACGGGTTTATCGTGTTTATGAATATTTGATATGACTTAAATAACGAATGATTCAAGAAACTTCACGCAACCATTTTGATTAATGATGTTTTAAACTTGTATTACACAACTTCTCACTAACCTATGTTCTGTAGTAGCAGTGGACATATAAACAGTGTGTATAGCCACACTAAACACTAAGTAAAGGAATCCCAGAACAGCAGCATAAGAGAAGAAGTCAGGTAGAAGCTGGTTAATAACACACAGAGGGTTGCAGGGGATCAGGGGACGGAGGATGGAGAGGAGACGCACTGAGAGAGTTATCAGGAGAACCCCTGGGGAGGTTAGTTGTTAGTTGTTAGTTGTTAGTTGTGTTGTAGAGTAGTGTGAGTGGTTATGTAGTTAGAGACATGGCCCATGGGTAGATGGATAGAATTAGGATGGCCGACGACAATGTGGGTGATGAGCATTGTATATTAGTATATATTACGTTTGATTAGTTACTATGGTAACTATACTTTTGAATAGTTACTACGGTAACTATATTTTTGAATAGTTACTATGGTAACTATACGTTTTCATAGTTACTATGATAAATATACTTATGAATGGTAACTCTGTAACATCTCAACTTACCATATAGAATTTGGACAGCATCAACTCCAGCCTCCCACATAAGGGGCGAAGAGTACATTCTGAGTTTGATGAGGAGAATACTGATCAGCCACGTCAGTATTAGGAGATCACACACAAATCTGAACTGGTAATACCTGAGGAGATAAGGAAATAAGGTTTTTTATCATGGTTTTTTTCATCATGGTCATATTTCATAGAGCTCTTGTGAAATTTAAACTTCTGAATATAATTCGATCTCAAGACCATTTGATAAATTTACAGAAATTGATATTGGTTGAGGAATGAAACAGAACCCCAGTAACCAAAAACAGGAACCGAAAGTAAAAGTGAAACCGAAAGTGAAAGAGAAAATGTTCACATACCAAACAAGAAGTCTACGTCTCTCGATCTCAGAAACAAGAACTCCTAGTCCCAGGGTCCAGGTCGCTATTTCTAACCACGATATCTCCATCTGTCGAATTGGAAACAAATTAGTATCTTAATGATATTTCTCATATTTAAAATTGCTAGTTCATTGCATTATAATAAATTAATATTTTAATAGTTAGTCAATGATAGAAGTACATTAATAAATAGTTATATCTAACTAAAAAGGTTATCACACATAACTAAATTCAAACCAAAAATATAACTTAACAAATATAATTTTACAACAAATTATAACAAATATAACTTAATAACTTAAAATAAGATAAAAACCTTGTGAGAGGAACAGATAGAACAGACCACTACGAGTACCAACAAGAGCAGATCAGTTATTAGCGAACTTGTGAAAACAGCAAATGGGGAATAAACTCTGTACCTGAAATAACGCAGCTGTTAAAAAAGTAAATATTATATTTTAGTTTGTAAAAATCTTTTATCGGTGATACTGTGCAACTGCAAGAATGTTGAACAGCGACCGAACGAGTCAATTCATGTTACTACTCATTCAGCGCTGGTTTCAAGCCAACAAAAGAGGTTAAAAAGATGTTAAAAGATTGGGTTAGAAAGATGTTAAAATGTGTTAAAATAGGTAAAAAAGAGGATTAAAAGCGGTTGGAGGATGAATGAACTGCTAACATGTATTTGCGAAGTATTGAGTCCCTTCTGATGCCACAAAGAAGGTAGCTGATAACAGAGATGAAGGGAAGCAGTACTGGAGATACCAAACACAACAATATGTCAACTGAAACAGAACTTGGTTACAAATAGAACTTGGTTACAAATAGAACTTGGTTAAAAATAGAACTTGGTTAAATATAGAACATGGTTAAATGGACTGACCTGACATGCTTGGACTTGGAGTAAAACCTCAAGTTGTCGTTTTGACAAGGACGCTAAAGATCATGCAGGGGAATGCTACTATGGTTACTATGGTAACCATCATGCTACTATGGTTACTACGGTAAGATATCAGTAATGTTTAAAAGAAATAAGCATGATAGCAGGGATGATATCATGTCCAAATATTCAGTGACTAATTTTATTTATGATTCGTTGATTCTACCATTATTAACTCTCGAAAATGTTTATTGAAGTTTAACAACTAAAGTTTCAGGTAATCTGTAGCTGTTAGTTGTTGATTTGGTTTATTTGCTGTTAGACAGTTAGAAGTGATAAGTGATAACACAACCTGAAATTTGGCACTCAGAATGATGTCTGGTGCCATGCCAAGCACACCTTTTATCGCATTGAATCACCTCACCGACACTTCTGACATCATACTGTTCCTGCAAGGCGAAGCAGCAAAGGGTGCGGCCAGGCTACAAGCTTATGGCAGCCTCACTCTTGAAACTATCGCCTTCAGGAAGGGAACTATCAAAAATCATACCACTATCAACAAACAATTCATGGCAGATCTCATTATCCCACCTAGAGCAACGAGAGACCTAACAACACCAACCATGATGCTGGGACGGCACTTCACCGTCACAACTCCTGGAGCCGATAACACTGAATATAGAAATTCACTTCAAAACACCATTGACAACATTACCAGTGAAACGATCACCTGCTACACTGACGGGTCACTCACAGACTCGGGATGCGGGGCTGGCTATATCATCACAACTGACAACAATAACACCACCCTTGAAGAAAGATCATTCATGCTCCCTGATTATTGCACTGTTTACCAAACAGAGCTCACCGCCATCATTGAAGCTTGCAAATATCTCTCTACGTACCTATACCAACACACATATCATCATATGGTCTGACAGTCTCTCATCTATACAAGCTATCTCCGCGCTTTCAACGCGGAGTAGAACTACAAGAGACTGTTACGACTCTCTTAATGCACTCGGATCCAACAACACGCTAGAGATACGATGGATTGCAGCACACATCGGATTGTGGGGGGAACGAAAAAGCAGATGAGCTGGCCAAGCTTGGTACAATAAGTGAATCCACTTTGAAGTGTCCAATTCCACAATCCTACATCAAGCGTCAAATCGACAACAAAGTCAACAGACTGAATCAGGAAACTTGGTTAACTGACGGTCCCAGACACACCAAACTGACACTCGGCCACAAGCACGCCAAAATCATCAAAAACCTCAACACTACACTCAGCAACAACAGACAAGATTACAGAACTGCAGTTCACCTCATCACGGGTCACTTCGGCTTAAACAAACACCTTCACACCATTTGCAAATCAAACACCAGTGCTTGTCCTATGTGCGGCGACGGAGAGGAAACTGTCTCACACTTCCTTGGACAGTGTCCGGCTATTGCTCAAATTAGAGGTCAATATTTCCAGGACTACTACCTCTCTGTCAATGACATATTCGACAACCAACACATCACCACAATTGTCAATTTCGCAAACCGCACCAAACGCTTAATTTTGCCGGAAGAGCTGGATCAGACCGGGGTGACTTAAAGTATTATCTCATATGCTGTCTCGTCTCGTTTTACTTTTCCAAACCCAGCTGGCATTTAAGCGTATCATTTTGACTCATATCACTTCTTACACCATCCTCCACCAATCACTCTGATTTCACCGGCAACCTTCCCCAGGGTTGCCACACCCCAGAGGTAGGCAGAGCATCTCAATGCTATCCTCTCGTGGGCTATCTTGGCCCAGCCTCTTTAAAAAAAAAAAAACCTGAAATACTTTCGACTGCATGACTGGAGAAGGTGTACGATCTACTACTGTACCCCCTCCCCCCTCCCCTCCCCCAGGGTTACCAAGCTTAGTACCTGGTTGGGGTTTGCCGGATTTAGACCGTGTAATCCTCTGTTGTAGCATCCTGTAAGTGGCTGGGTGGGACACAAACTCGTTCCTACCGTAGTACAGAGCGTCGTGAATAGGGGCAGACTGTCTGGAGGGGGCGTGGTCACGTGACATTACCGCTGTTACCTGGGCACAAATTTAAGTTTTAAGCAAAATAAAACGATTGAAGCTATGACTAAAGTTTTTAAGGTCAGAGGGAAACTGAGGTTGCAAATGTTAGAAAGACGATTTGGGAAGGCAGAAAGCTGTCATAGAATACGCAAAGTGAGCAGGAGCCTAGAGCATTACAAAACAGACCTCTTCAGTAGATAGACACTGGTCAATAAGCTGAACAGAGAACCTCTCACAAGCAGTACCCAAACGTTCCCAGTGTGAGGTCAGAGCAGGTCTAACACACGCTAATAATCTGAACGCTCGGCCTGATGTGAGGTTAGTGGGGTTAGTGAGGTTAGTGGGGTTAGTGAGGTTAGTGAGGTTGGTGAGGTAAGTGAGGTTAGTGAGGTTAGTGAGGTTAAAGCAGGTCTAACACACGCTAATAGTCTGAACGCTCGGCCTGATGTGGGGTTAGTGAGGTTAGTGGGGTTAGTGAGGTTAGTGAGGTTAGTGGGGTTAGTGAGGATAGTGAGGTTAGTGAGGTTAGTGAGGTTAGTGGGGTTAGTGAGGTTAGTGAGGTTAGTGAGGTTAGTGAGGTTAGTGAGGTTAGTGAGGTTAGTGAGGTTAGTGGGGTTAGTGAGGTTAGTGAGGTTAGTGAGGTTAGTGAGGTTAGTGAGGTTAGTGAGGTTAGTGAGGTTAGAGCAGGTCTAACACAAGCTAATGGTCTGAACGCTCGGCCTGATGGACAATGGACAATGTTAACTTGTTAGTGAGGTTAGACTCTGTTGTGTTGTTGTTGTAAGTACTTAGTAATAACAAATAAAACAAGGAGACTAGTATACTTTAACTTTCACCACATAAATTGGTCGTGATCGTTTTATTAGCTCCACCTCGCAGTCATGGTAAAGTACTCTGTCTTGTAAAATCATCATGTGAATTGTGAAATGTGAAACTGTGGAATGTTCACTAACCGAGCAGGAATGCAGTTTCAAGTGGAGTTGGTGTAAGGATGAGGATCTGCTGAGATATCAGCCTCCACAGTGCCTGAATATCAGGGTCTCTACACTCAACCACGTTCACTGAGACACCTGCATTATTGGATAGTTTTATAACCTCCAAAAAACAACAACAGAAGAGAAAACCCACTTAAAAACACACGCAATAACCGCTAATAGTAATCAGTACAGGTCTTGGCAAGTTATTGTCAGTTCAAAATTCCTTCTACACAAACACGATTAAAACAAAGAATATTTTAAAACCTCCTTACCTAGTCTGACTCCCAACATCCTAGCTAGTCTTCTGTCAGTACAGCCCCCTAGTCTCATCAGGCTCTCACCCAGATTAGCACCTTGTGAGACCAGATACTCGGCTACATCCATTCTGTCTACTCTCAGAGCTGAGGAGAGCGGGCAATCTGCACGTGCACACCTGAGATAGAGGGTGTTACCATTAGGAGCAGAACAAAGGGAAACGACTAGGAATTAACCAAGTATAATCGAACTTAGAGTAGTTGCACACAACTTTCAGTCTTTAAAATTATCCAAACTCTATTCTTCCAAATATCAACTCGTCCGAAATAAAAACTATATCCATTAGAACTGTCGTCTTCAAACGTACCCCACTGCCCTGTTACCGCGCTACTGGTCACGTGGGATCACGTGCAGACTGCAGCGCGTCCGAGGTCACGCGACCAGCACCGCAGTACTCATAATGGCAGGAAAGTTAGGGCCAGTTTCTAAGAATTCCTGCACCCCCGTTAAAAGCAAAGATAAAGAAAGATAAACCTAGAGTGGGCTGATAATGAGTGTAACAGCGATCATTAAAACAGAATTAATAAACTGTCTCAACTGCATGGTTACTCAGACCCGCCACCGTTTTAAAATTGATACTGAATTGTTATCCAGTGTCGTAACTTATATTACGACCCCACACTTCGCTGTTATATGGTGGCGACGCGATGGTTTGTGAAAATTGCGCCCTTTCCGAAGAAAATTGGTCCAAATTAGAGGTTAAATCAACAATATTTCGTCCCAAATTCGTCCCTTCAATTGAAACATAAATAAATAAAGACCTAACTTATAAAACTTACATATTCATAACATATTGAAAATAAAAAGTAAACTTATTAGACTAACATGTTATCAGTGATACCGTTAGGACTGTTGACACTAGCCCCAGCCTCCACAAGTAGCCTCACGCACTCTGGGTTCCCCCCTAATATAGCGGATACTATCGGGGATATTATTACTTGGGGCTCTGGCACTCTGATACTTTCCTGAGGGCAATGATAAGGTTAGTCTAGGTTAGTATAGTGAGGTTATCATTATAAGTGAGGTTAGTGAGGTTAATGAGGTTAACATTATAAATGAAACTTCGAATCAGGACCCGAGAGCTATACTACTAAAGAAACACTCAATCAGTTCCACTTGTTCTGATTGATCACTGAATCTACCACATAACACATATAATAAAAGGCTCTGGAGAGGTTCACTTACCGCACTAGTTACCCTCATGGAGTTGTGCTTCATATCCGCCATCACGCCCAGATAAGCGTTCCCATTTCTCTGTAGACTCTCAGGGTTGACGGAGAGGAAGGAGTCTAGAGCGTTAGCGTCCCCTTCTCCGCAGAGTCTCATTAGTGTGGTGTAGTCAGGGATTGGGGCTACGTGCGGTGTGCTATCTGTAAAACAGGGGGTTAGTTATAGGGGCGGGGTCGAGGGGCGCCAACATTCAACGTTACGCCACTGGCACCACGCTAGTCCCACCAGACTATAGTTGAGGTAAAAAGACTGAGTCTATGGTAATAGGTAACAGGGAAGATAATGGACACGTTGCAGAAAACTTCAACTTGTACTTCTGGCGTTGCGTTTCGTTTTCTTCTGCTGTAAACAGCTGTGATCACACCGAATGTACATTGTACATTCAGTGTTCATGTATGATGTATACATTTTATTTTGCCATGTACAGCAGACTGAACTATTTGAAATTGAAGTGCACTGTGTATAGACTTATAGGTATAGTTGATGATTCAAATGTCATTGTAGGTACAACTTTCAGCAGTAAAGTAGACAGTGTACAGTACTACAGTAAAGTTGATATAATAATGTACAGTTTATAGTTATCTGTATGCATAGTTTGGTACGTGATAACGCCTGCCAAGATCGTACAGTTGGATTTCTAATTTCTTACATTTTCCATGTTTTTTTTTGAAAAATTGACTAACGAACTCCAACGAACTCTAACGAACTCCAAATTTTGAACGAACTCCACGAACTCTACGCCAAAAATCAACGAACTCCGCATCTATGCAATTTAAACTCACTGAATCATCTGTTAGTGTAACTATGGTAACTATGGTAAATATGGTAACTATGGTAACTATAGTAACTATAGCTAGTAACTATAGTAACTATAGTAACTATTGGTAACTAAACTCACTGAATCGTTTGTTAGTGTACTCCTCATCATATGTCTCCTCCCTGAACCCCTCTCTGAAGGTCCTATCAAAAGGAGGATCGTAACAGAGTGTTGTCATGGGACTGAGCAGGGTTTCCTCATCTTCTAGCAGTGGACTTCTCTGGATGTGGATTGTAAACGTCATTTCAAATACTGTTAGACAAACTTTCCAAAAAGTCAAGATTTCAAGGTGCGACAAGATGCGACAAGGTGCGACAAGGTGCGACAAAAATTAGAACTAAATAAAATTATACAATATCATCGGAATGGGGCGGATAAAGTGTGCACCGTTTTTCTCAGTGATCAACCGATACCGTTTCCAATTTCATGGGTTAAGTATATTCGAGCTAGAGTATGTTGTGATATATGATAAGGTATGTACTGTGGTACTTGGACTATAGTTTGCTGGTAATGGTTCATATTACATGGTCTAACGATATGTTACCCCAAATAATCTTATTGAGTTGTTGCATGCTCCCAAAAGACTTGTTGATTCAAGTAACTCATCACTGTACTATTATACTTAACGTGGGGACTCTCGTGGGGATGTGAAGCATATTTTCTGATAAGTGACTGCGATTAACCAATCAGCTTCCATTATTGATCAATCAAACCCCAGAATCACTGTCACGTGTCAAAAAATATGCTGCACCACACCACTAGAATACACTAATCTTCCAGCACTTACCAGGTCTCGGATGGAAGTGTGCTCGGGGAGGTCGGGGATATCATCAAGACTAGCGCTCACTGCTACTGATCTTACTTGGGGCCACTGATCCGGGACAGCACTTGCTGCACTTTCTCTGCGGGAGAAGGGATATTAGTCGCGCAGTTAGTTGTTGTAAGTTGTGACTGTAAGTTGTGACTGTAAGTTGTGACTGTAAGTTGTGACTGTAAGTTGTGACTGTAAGTTGTGACTGTAAGTTGTGACTGTAAGTTGTGACTGTAAGTTGTGACTGTTAGTTGTGACTGTAAGTTGTGACTGTAAGTTGTGACTGTAAGTTGTGACTGTAAGTTGTGACTGTAAGTTTTGACTGTAAGTTGTGACTGTTAGTTGTGACTGTTAGTTGTGACTGTAAGTTGTGACTGTAAGTTGTGACTGTAAGTTGTGACTGTTAGTTGTGACTGTTAGTTGTGACTGTTAGTTGTGACTGTTAGTTGTGACTGTAAGTTGTGACTGTAAGTTGTGACTGTTAGTTGTGACTGTTAGTTGTGACTGTAAGTTGTGACTGTAAGTTGTGACTGTAAGTTGTGACTGTAAGTTGTGACTGTAAGTTGTGACTGTAAGTTTTGACTGTAAGTTGTGACTGTAAGTTGTGACTGTAAGTTGTGACTGTAAGTTGTGACTGTAAGTTGTGACTGTAAGTTGTGACTGTAAGTTGTGACTGTTAGTTGTGACTGTTAGTTGTGACTGTTAGTTGTGACTGTTAGTTGTGACTGTAAGTTGTGACTGTAAGTTGTGACTGTAAGTTGTGACTGTAAGTTGTGACTGTTAGTTGTGACTGTTAGTTGTGACTGTTAGTTGTGACTGTAAGTTGTGACTGTAAGTTGTGACTGTAAGTTGTGACTGTTAGTTGTGACTGTTAGTTGTGACTGTTAGTTGTGACTGTTAGTTGTGACTGTAAGTTGTGACTGTAAGTTGTGACTGTAAGTTGTGACTGTAAGTTTTGACTGTAAGTTGTGACTGTAAGTTTTGACTGTAAGTTGTGACTGTTAGTTGTGACTGTTAGTTGTGACTGTTAGTTGTGACTGTTAGTTGTGACTGTTAGTTGTGACTGTTAGTTGTGACTGTAAGTTGTGACTGTAAGTTGTGACTGTTAGTTGTGACTGTTAGTTGTGACTGTTAGTTGTGACTGTTAGTTGTGACTGTTAGTTGTGACTGTAAGTTGTGACTGTTAGTTGTGACTGTTAGTTGTGACTGTAAGTTGTGACTGTAAGTTGTGACTGTTAGTTGTGACTGTTAGTTGTGACTGTTAGTTGTGACTGTTAGTTGTGACTGTAAGTTGTGACTGTAAGTTGTGACTGTAAGTTTTGACTGTAAGTTGTGACTGTTAGTTGTGACTGTTAGTTGTGACTGTTAGTTGTGACTGTTAGTTGTGACTGTTAGTTGTGACTGTTAGTTGTGACTGTTAGTTGTGACTGTAAGTTGTGACTGTAAGTTGTGACTGTTAGTTGTGACTGTTAGTTGTGACTGTTAGTTGTGACTGTTAGTTGTGACTGTTAGTTGTGACTGTAAGTTGTGACTGTTAGTTGTGACTGTTAGTTGTGACTGTAAGTTGTGACTGTTAGTTGTGACTGTTAGTTGTGACTGTTAGTTGTGACTGTTAGTTGTGACTGTTAGTTGTGACTGTTAGTTGTGACTGTTAGTTGTGACTGTTAGTTGTGACTGTAAGTTGTGACTATTAGTTGTGACTGTTAGTTGTGACTGTTAGTTGTGACTGTTAGTTGTGACTGTTAGTTGTAGGTTTAACTTACCTTTTATTTCTGTCAAATTTAACTTTTCTCTTCGCTTTCTGAGATTTTATCGGTGAGATTAGCCTCACAAATTCCTCAGAGAACATAAATTTCCAGTTTCTTTCTGCACATCAAGATAAGGAGGAGGTCGTCAGGTCACCAACCATGGTTTTATTCTATGAAACTGTGCTCATTTTGGGAGACCTTTCTATTTATATATTTATATAATATTATTAATTTGAATACACATAGGAACCTGGAACATAAAGTAAGTAAAAAAATGTATTATCACGCTCGTGTGTTTTTTAAGAATTATGTTATTTAGGAACAATTATTCCGGTCTTGGTAAGAGTTCTTAGAAGAACTTGAGCATAGGAATATACGAGAAGACTCAACACAAAAACTAATATGAGTGAAGAAAGGAAGAGAATTATTCTTTATTAGCTTATTGAGTATCGAACTGATATACTCGTTCAAAAGCTAAAAGTCTACACTAAACTAACACTAAAATAACACTAAACTAACACTAAACTAACACTAAACTAACACTAAACTAACACTAAACTAACACTAAACTAACACTAAACTAACACTAAACTAACACTAAACTAACACTAAACTACCACTCTACAAAAGTGAAGCGATATCAAGCCATAAAGGTAAGGTTGACAGAGAGGAAAGTATTATATGCAACAACTTCTCACAAGCAATATCTCTGATTAGATATTTGTAGATATTAGATTATGATATACTCTGTGTAGTTTGTGTATAGTGTGTGCATTACTAGAAGTAGAAACACATGTTTGGTTATCATTCATTATTATTAAGAGTATTTTAATTAATTGTTATGAGTGTAGTTATTAATTATTATCAGTATTTGGAGGTTAAAACTAGGCACCAGTGACTTCCTGCTCGAGAGTGACATTTACAATTCCGAAGTATCATAACCTCTTACTTCCTCATTAATATCTCTAGTACACCGCTAGTATGCATTCGACATCGTTACACAATATACCTCTTTGGCTATACAGTTTGCACCGTTGCTTTTAGACACACACACTTAGTTGTTTATTCCTTTTACGGCATCATAAAGCTATGTGGGGATGACACGCCTGACAAACTACAAACTACTTCATGAAATATTGAATATTGAGGATAAAAGTGGTGCAGATCGCCATACCACACGGCTAGCAATAACTGCTTTTGTCAAGGTATATATATAAAAGAGTCGGCACTGGGATCAATAGTTATAAATAAATAAAATCAGGAAACCAATACAGTAATGATAGGTAATATTGCAATTACAATAAGTATTACAATAAGCCATATTAGAATGACAAGTCGTTACAAAGAATTTTGACAGTACAGCTATCTTATCTATTTATATACAAACTCTTTATTCACTCGGCAGTGAATAAACACTTACGGTCAACAAAGCCGTCACGTGTTCTATTTTTATGTGTGTATACTGTAGAAAAGTAGAGATTCTAATTTTGAAACATCCCAGTTCATCAAACGAACGTGGAATTATGATTAAAAAAGCATGTTAAGAATATTTTATCCCTAAATCCTCAGAAGCTCAGAAGAGACGAATAACGAAATCATGATATCGAAAAGAGGGACCCCCGACCTCAATACTACGACAAGCTTATTACTCAAGGTGGTAAAACTAGTGTGTATAGTAGAATTTGCACAGGCTACAGGCTACTTTAACAGTGTAAATCACTTCGCTACTACTAGGATATTGCCCGTAATGAAACTTTATTAAAACTAAACATTCTATAATTGTTAACTTTATTAAAACAAAACTAGAATTGTCAGGACAAATGTGCGACAAACCAACGTTTATGAACTTTTCATGAAGAAGATTGCGAATATCTTGCCGGCTTGCCCCCTTGATGTTTTAAGAAGGACAAAATCACGATTGCAAAGTGCAAAACTGTACATCAACCATTAGCCAAAGGAGAACTACAAAGTACACGCTGAACATGACTCTAGCAGGGGAGCAAGTGGCTAGCAAGTGGCTAGCAAGTGGGTGGCAGTGAAATCTAAAATCCTCTGAAGTTGGAATTAAGTGACATATTAGCCCTGGAGGGTAGTGTATTGTTATGTAACTATACACTGTCACTAGTGTTAATATAATTGTGTACTGATATAAGACTTTGTAGCCCCCCCCCCCCCCCCCCCCCCCCCCTTTTTTTAAAAGACTGTGATGATCACCAGAATTACGGACGATCCTAATGATGTGTGCGTTTAAAAAAGTGCTGTTATTTCGAACCACTACGAGCCTGACTGAAAGCGAAACTGGCAAGCGGGGCCCTTCGTTACGCCACAAACTAACCGGTGAGTAAAGGTACAAATACAATCTTTATAAAAAGCAGCAGCGTTACTTTATTCAAGTGTTGAAGAAACTTAATACTTTAATACGGTGTTAGTGTGTTCGTTACGAAACTAAATAATCAGATACCCGCCCTAAACATAAATATATGGTTACCATGGCTACAGCATGAATATAGGACTCTCTTAAGTCATCTGCAGGAAGTGTACTAGAAGTCAATATATTTGTAACTTATTTATAATACTTATAATACAACATGAGTGCTATGAACGAAGTAGAGATTGTACGAGGCATGAGATAATAAATATAAATATTATTACACTTTTATGATAATGAATTAGCATTATATTCAATATTCATTCTCAAATGGCTGAGGTAACACGGTTATCAACTTAAAATGACAACACAACTTCGTATTAAAAGAGAACAATAAAAAACGTTATAATGAGATGGATCAGCGTAAGAAGGAGTAGAAGTAATAGCAAGAAGAGAGCAAAGAGGAGACAAAGGAGACAGAGGGTGAAAGTAATCATAATTTTAACGGGATTTTTTAACTGTGTGGATGTGAGCTGGTAACTGGCAAACTACCAACAACAAGACATGATCTCTGTAAATAACAACTGAGGAGGAGGAGGGGTAATACGGGGAGAGAGGGTAAAGTTTCATATGTGTTTAGTGCGGCAGGTGTGTATTGTGATCACGTGATATCCAGTTATAATCACGTGGTAATTCTCACTCAAACACTCGGACGAATCCATAATCACGTGGTACCTGGCCAGCACTGGATCGTACCCAAGCCTACCTTATCAGTGGTGTAACGTTAAGCCACTGTACCTTATCCAACTTATGTGTTATCCAACTTATGTGTTATCCAACTTATGTGTTATCCAACTTATGTGTTATCCAACTTATGTGTTATCCAACTTATGTGTTATCGGACTTTATTTGAATCACGATGGCGTTCGAGCGTTCATTTTAATGTCCGTCCAAAATTATGTCCGTTTACGCAATGTCCGGTTAAATAACGTCCGATAAAGTAAATGGAGACGATAGCACAATCGCTTTGATACGAAGTAAGATATTTTAGAATTACAGATAATTGTAAGAAACATATTAAATTCTCACCTTGAAACAGAGCCAGACTCGTACCCGTTATCACTGGTAATCACTTTATCATGTGACCTGTACCCTCTGAAATTGTAAATATTTCAACATAAATAACAGTAATTTAAACTGTAAATATTCCTGTAAACCTTTATAACACACACCTCAGGGTTCGAGAAAGCAAATCTCAATCAATTTATTCGATCGTGAGTAACTCGTGGGTCGATAATGAGCGGTATTTGGTGAGTACGCGGCAACCACCCATTCAAACACATTAATGTTGGTTGATTCAACTTTAATGCCACCTATCAAGCATCCATTATCGAAACCCTACCAAGCGGGGTGACAATGGATCCATTATTTGCTAATAGACCTGTACCTGCTATGATGATCTAAGCAGTAGGTTGGTTTGACTAAGTATAATTATATTCATACTGGATACTACTGAAAAGTGCATCCTCACTTATTCCGCTCCTGAGAGGGAGGGGGCCGGGACCTGAGGGGGGGGGGGGACAATTTCTAAACAACTTACGCGTATTTGTCTGGTATGCGGGGTGAAGGTACGGAGGATATCTGATCTGAACTGTACTGGTAGGACAACATTATCTTAGGTCATTTTGCAGCATCTGGGTGAGACGGGATCAGGAAACTTGTCAAATAGACGTGGTTACCATGGTTACCACAACATGTTACCATGGTTACCACAACATGTTACCATGGTTACCACAACATGTTATCATGGTTACCACAACATGTTACCATGGTTACCACAACATGTTACCATGGTTACCACAACATGTTACCATGGTTACCACAACATGTTACCATGGTTACCACAACATGTTACCATGGTTACCACAACATGTTACCATGGTTACCACAACATGTTACCATGGTTACCACAACGTACTGTTGCCATGGTAAAACGGGATCAAATAAACTTGTGGTTGAATGTATACATTGTTTGAATGACCTTTATTGTACTTGGTACTTGGTAGAGGTGTTTCATCAGAATGTGATGATTTCTTTAATCAAACAAAAGGATTGTTGGTAAATATTTTATTGAAATTGAAAAATAAACTTGTAAAATAGAATAATATCCATGGAGTTAAATTACAAAAAAGTTGCCTGCTTATCTGAAAGTTTAGGCGGAGAATCAAGATTTAGTCGATTTAAAAAAAACACGAACTTTTGTGAGCAAGTAGCTCTAAAAAGGTTTTCAACTGAAATTAACGGTAAAACTCAGGAATGTCATAAAAAAACGTATGTGGTAGATAAATCATAGTTATCATAAAAACGTGTTTGTCAAACTATGAGATGGAGAATCAAGATTTAGTCGATTTCAAACTTAATCTTTGAGAGTTCATTGTGATTATGATAATAATCGGTCGTCTTTTGAGCAAAGAAATGTAAAGTAGTACGTCTTATCACACAAATTGGCAGTGTAATAAAATAATAACAAGCTGAAATAACGATAAACTAAAACGAAGGTAATACCGGAATGTCACAATAGCCATGATCTCAGATTGTTAATATTACCTTATATGACATGGTGTTACCATAGTAACACTACCATAAAAGGTAATGCCATTTAATCAGATTTTCAGAACTGCTAGTTTGACTGCCATGGGTATCGCGGGGACTAAAAACTCTATTTATAGAGTGTTTAGTCCCCGATACCTGGCAGTTTACAAACTATGAACTAGAAGGACTCTGGGACCTCTGGACTAAGAAGGTTGTTGTACCCGAATAATAACGGTGAGGGAAATGAACCGTGTGACAGTG